AGGTGCTCTTCAGTGTTCCACAAAATTAACAAGGCAAAAGTTCCAAAGCAAAATCTTAGCTGTGTCCTGGCACTAACTACACACGTCCATGTCCTAATTATCAGACTTAGCATGCCTAATCCTTGTCAGTCTTGACATACAATATTTACAGCTTCCACCAACCTTGCAGCTCTCACAAACAGGACATGTCTGTTCCCAAGGCTCAAGAGCACTGACTCTGAGTTCCATGTGATTCTAAATTGCCAAAAGGGAAAGGTGCAAAACCCAAACTGGACAGAGAATCAGAGGTCTCAAAAAGTGCCATTCAAGAAAAATATCTTTGCTTACTTGTCTGTACTGGAGGACATCCCTGTGTTACATCTTGATTGGCAATAGTTGATTAGAGAATTGCATCAGGAATGGGACACTGCTGCTGATGGAATTCATTGCATTGCATGTTGTTTGGTATAAGTTGACTTTGTCATGGCACCAGGAAAGTGGCAATGAAATTGGAGGCTTTTGTTGACCTTTGACATGGGGATGGTTTCAGGAATGGATCGGTGCTGCAGTGCTACCTGTGTTAAGGTTGTTATACTTGAACAAGAAAGGGTACAGGGCTCCCCGGGACTTTATTGTAGCCAAAAGGATAACAACCATAAAGAATATAGATATACAATCAAATTTTATTATGTAGCCCTGTTTTGGGGGGGGGTTATGTGAAATGGCCCACACCAAACAAGCTATGGCGCTAACCTGTATATGAGTAGGCAATCCTGAGCCTTCGCTATATGGAAGAGGGGGCTGTGATAATACAAATGGCAGTGCCTCCACCTAGAATAGGGATCCTGCAATTGAGGAGACTCGCCCCTTTCTAGGAATGTAACAGGTAGACAACTTAAAGTAACTATACATAGCAGTATTAATGCACCCAGCTTATATTTTCTAACATGGAAAACATGTCACCACACCTGTATGAGATTAATGCAAAGTTTATATAAAGCAGCCACATAAAACAGGATGCATAAGAATAACATTCAGGAATTACAATTTAACATAAATTGGGAGGTTGCAATTATACCCGGGTATATGTGCATGTAGTATACAGAATACCTCCAACCATGGGTTATAGCGCTGTCCGGTTGCAGGGGCCCCTGGAGAGGTGAGAGTCAATAAGATGCACGCTTCCACTTTAGATGCTGTGATGGCGTCCAAGTAACATGCGGATGATTGCACTGCTTGTCTGAAGATCAGCGATGCATCACCTAAAAGAATAAAATGCCCTATCTATCCTTACTCTTAGTCCCTATCCCTAAACTGGGCTGTCACTGCAACCGGGCCTCTATCTGTCTAAGTGGCCGTCGGATGCCTAACCTACCTCTAGCCTAATCTATCCAACGCTCCCTATGCTAATTCTATCTAAAAGGAGATCCAGACCAATAAGGATGCTATAGCTTTAAGCCAGCTGTTCTCAACCTGGGGGTCGCGACCCCTTTGGGGGTCGAACGACCATTTCACAGGGGTCGCCTAAGACCATCGGAAAACACATATTTCCGATGGTCTTAGGAACCGAGACACCGCTCCTGTCTCAGGCGATCTGTGGGCGGCATGATATGCTGCCCCTGTAACCTGGCCACACCTCCGGGATCACTCAACAGCTCCGCCTCCTCGCCGCTGATTGGCCACCGGAACTGTAGCTCAGGAGAGGCACACAGGCGGCCAATCACCGGCGAGGAGGTGGAGCTTGGAGAGGAGGAGCCGAGCGGCAGCGCGCGGAGATCGAAGAAGATCGAGGGAGCTGCAGGAGCGAGTGAAGAGAGGCCAGAGAAGGAAGACAGCTGACAGGAAGTGCAAATTTTGCTGCTGCAGCCAGGTATGCTGGCTGTAGATGGGAGAGGGAGAGAGCGAGCCCAGGCTGGAGCAGGAGTCAGCAAGGTAAGTATCATTGGTGTCAGTGGAAGGGATAGTGCCCCATCATTTGTGTCACTAATACCAACGATGGGCCACTATTCCTCCCCCCACTGACACCAACGATGAGGCAGTATTCCTCCCCCCACTGACACCAACGATGAGGCACTATTCCTCCCCCCACTGACACCAACGATGGGGCACTATTCCTCCCCCCACTGACACCAACGATGAGGCACACTATTCCTCCCCCCACTGACACCAACGATGGGGCACTATTCCTCCCCCCACTGACACCAACGATGGGGCACTATTCCTCCCACTGACACCAATGATGGGGCACTATTCCTCCCACTGACACCAATGATGGGGCACTATTCCTCCCACTGATACCAATGATGGGGCACTATCCCTCGCACTGATACCAATGATGGGCACTATTCCTCCCACTGATACCAATGATGGGACACTATTCCTCCACTGATACCAATGATGGGGCACTATTCCTTCCACTGACACCAATGATGGGACACTATTCCTCCTACTGATACTAATGATGGGGCACTATTCCTCCCACTGACACCAATGATGGGGCACTATTCCTCCCACTGATAACAATGATGGGGCATTATTCCTCCCACTGATACCAATGATGGGGCACTATTCCTCCCACTGACACCAATGATGGGGCACTATTCCTCCCACTGATACCAATGATGGGGCACTATTCCTCCCACTGATACCAATGATGGGGCACTATTCCTCCCACTGACACCAATGATGAGGCACTATTCCTCCCAATGACACCCACAATGGGGCACTATTCCTCCCAATGACACCCACAATGGGGCACTATTCCTCCCACTGACACCCACAATGGGGCACTATTCCTCCCACTGACACCCACGATGGGGCACTATTCCTCCCACTGACACCCACGATGGGGCACTATTCCTCCCACTGACACCCACGATGGGGCACTATTCCTCCCACTGACACCCACGATGGGGGCACTATTCCTCCCACTGACACCCACGATGGGGCACTATTCCTCCCACTGACACCCACGATGGGGCACTATTCCTCCCACTGACACCAATGATGGGGCACTATTCCCCCCACTGACACCAATGATGGGGCACTATTCCTCCCACTGACACCAATGATGGGGCACTATTCCTCCCACTGACGCCAATGATGGGGCACTATTCCCCCCACTGACACCAATGATGGGGCACTATTCCCCCCACTGACACCAATGATGGGGCACTATTCCTCCCACTGACACCAATGATGGGGCACTATTCCTCTTACTGATACCAATGATGGGGCACTATTCCTCCCACTGACACCAATGATGGGACACTATTCCTCCCACTGAAACCAATGATGGGGCACTATTCCTCCCACTGATACCAGTGATGGGGCACTATTCCTCCCACTGATACCAATGATGGGGCACTATTCCTCCCACTGACGCCAATGATGGGGCACTATTCCTCCCACTGACGCCAATGATTGTACACTATTCCTCCCACTGACGCCAATGATGGGGCACTATTCCCCCCACTGACACCAATGATGGGGCACTATTCCTCCCACTGACACCAATGATGGGGCACTATTCCCCCCACTGACACCAATGATGGGGCACTATTCCTCCCACTGACACCAATGATTGTACACTATTCCTCCCACTGATGCCAATGATGGGGCACTATTCCCCCCACTGACACCAATGATGGGGCACTATTCCTCCCACTGACACCAATGATGGGGCACTATTCCCCCCACTGACGCCAATGATGGGGCACTATTCCTCCCACTGACGCCAATGATTGTACACTATTCCTCCCACTGATGCCAATGATGGGGCACTATTCCCCCCACTGACGCCAATGATGGGGCACTATTCCTCCCACTGACACCAATGATGGGGCACTATTCCCCCACTGACACCAATGATGGGGCACTATTCCTCCCACTGACACCAATGATGGGGCACTATTCCTCCCACTGACGCCAATGATGGGGCACTATTCCCCCCACTGACACCAATGATGGGGCACTATTCCCCCCACTGACACCAATGATGGGGCACTATTCCTCCCACTGATACCAATGATGGGGCACTATTCCTCCCACTGACACCAATGATGGGACACTATTCCTCCCACTGACACCAATGATGGGGCACTATTCCTCCCACTGATACCAGTGATGGGGCACTATTCCTCCCACTGATACCAATGATGGGACACTATTCCTCCCACTAATGCCAATGATGGGGCACTATTCCTCCCACTGATACCAATGATGGAGCACTGTTCCTCCCACTGACACCAATGATGGGCACTATTCCTCCCACTGACACCAACGATGGGACACTATTCATCCCACTGATACCAACGATGGGACACTATTCATCCCACTGACATCAGTGATGGGGCGCTAGTCCTCCCACTGCAAAATTACAGTTATGAAGTAGCAACGAAAATAATTTTATGGTTGGGGTCACCACAACATGAGGAACTGTATTAAGGGGTCGCGGCATTAGAAAGGTTGAGAACCACTGCTTTAAGCAAAAGGCTGCAAAGATACACTGCAATTAACCACTTGCCTACCAGGCACTTATACCCCCTTATTTACCAGGCCAATTTTCATCTTTCAGTCCTGCCGCACTTTGATTGACAATTGCGCAGTCATGCAACATTGTACCCATATGAAATTTTGATCATTTTTTTCTCACAAATAGAGCTTTCTTTTGGTGGTATTTAATCGCCACTTTTTGCGCTATAAATAAAAAAAGTGCAAAAAATTTGAAAAAAAAAAAAAAGTTATTTGTTTCTGTTATAAAATTTTTCAAACAGGTATTTTTTCTCCTTCACTGATGTGCGTTGATGAGGCAGCACTGATGGGCACTGATAGGCGGCACTGATGGGCACTGATAGGCAGCACTAAAGGGCACTGATAGGCAGTACTAATGAGGTGGCACGGATAGGCGGCACTGATAGACAGCACTAATGAGGTGTCACGGATAGGCGGCACTAATATGCAGCACTGATAGGCGGCACTGATAGGTGACACTGATGATGGGTACTGATAGACGGCACTGACTGGCATCACTGCTGGGCACTGACTGGCACAACCCCTGGGCACTGACTGGTGGCACTGACTGGCAGCACTGCTGGGCTGCACTGGTGGGTGGCACTGGTGGGCAGCACTGGTGGGTGGGCACAGGTGGGTGGCACTGTTGGGCACAGGTGGGTGGCACTTCTGGGCACAGGTGTGTGACACTGCAGAGTGGCACAGGTGGGTGCACTGCTGGGCACAGGTGGGTGCACTGCTGGGCACAGGTGGGTGATCTGCTGGCACAGGTGGGCGGAGCTAGTGGGCGCACTGCTGGGCACAGGTGGGCGGAACTTGCGGGTGGCACTGCTGGGCACCGATCATCAGGGCACTGATCATCAGTGCCCTGATGATCGGTGCCGATCCCCGCACTGACAACTGCCGGTTCTCGGCAGTACTTTCCTTACGATCTGACAGCGTGAGGAAAGTGCAGCCGAGAACCGGCACTTGCATTTCCCTCTGATCAGCGTGTCATTGGACACCGCTGATCACGTGGTAAAAGGCCGCTGTGATTGGCCTTTTACCACATCACGTGATCAGCTGTGTCCGTAGGACACAGCGATCACGGAGATCGCCCGTGCGCGCCCCCCCTGGGGCGCGCAGGAGAGCGCGTTCTGGGAGGACGTCATATGACGTCCACTCAGAACTGGCCGGCCGCAGTGAAGCCGTCATTCGGCTATCTGCGGTCGGCAGGTAGTTAACAGAAAGTTCACCTGACAGTCTTATGCAGGTGAAAACACGGATCTATCTATCTATATAGACAACTATAAGGATTCTGCAGTGTGTAAATAGAATAATGATAATGAACCACAACTCTCTCTCTTACAGAGATATTAGGGTTCCTATACAGAAGTTGAAATATAACAGAGGCAGACCTAATCTGCTTCAGTAACAACTAGATAGATAGCAGCCTTGTTAATCTGGATCATTACTCACAGAATCCCCATACATTTCTCCCCAGATACATAGCACATGGCAGGCTGGTACCCTCTGCCTGATACTTCCTGGAAAAACAAACTATATAACATCCTGGGGTTTCTTGACCTCCTTGTAGGGGCAGGAAGCACACCTAGGGACTTGTCTGTAATGGGACCTCTGTGGTAGTGGCTGTATATGAACATAAACAAACCACAACTAGTGTATAAAATAACAGTTCCCTACAATTATACAAATTGTTAAAAAAGTAAATAAAAGGTGTGGTTTCTATACATGCAGTTTTTATGTCTTCTCGTACACCACAGAATTTCCAACTCGCTTTGACTATCAAGTAGTCTTCATCAGGGAAAAATGGTAAAATATCTAAATAGACAGGCAGAGATATATAGAAGTATATAAGTCAAAGATCAAAAGGTCCTATATCACTTAGATACATAGTAATTGGTGCATTAAAATCTGCTCTGGAGGACCCTCACTTTAAGATCTTGCAGAAGACAGACTATGTGAAAGCCACAACTGCAGGTAATTTTACAACAGCCCTTATTACATCTTAAAGATCCATTTTTCTTCTTTTTTCACTGATATATTCTTTTATTATTTTTACTACTTAGATTTATCATCTCCTGCCAGAGCTCTTGCGGGGGTCTTATTCTTTTCCCCTGTGGTCTTCTGTAAGACCTTAAAGACACGGTTAGATACATATAATTTATTCTCCTTTATTAGTATCAAACATTTTTATTTACCATTAGATATGAGTGCTTATTTTGTGAGATTTTCCTCTTTCCCCTTTTTTTGTGTAGATTTTGTTGTGGGTGTTGGCCTCTTTGGCCAGTAATGAAAATCCATTTCGGCTCCTTGTGGGTCATAGGCCAAATTGCTGTGGAAGTGAAGGTCTTTCAGCCAGCAAGTCTGTTGTTTTTCAGAGGCTCAAGTTCTCCAGCAGAATATATCAGTTTACATGGATGAGACAATCCATTTATCGCTGACTGGGGTGAATAAAATTATCATCTTTTAATTCATGTAAAACCTAAAAAAATCTGTTTTCTGTAACTGATTATAAAGTGTGAGCTGGAGATTGGCTTCAATGTGTTACTGTATTCAAATCTGCTAATACATTTAACACTCCCCACCCCCAGACTGACAATGCTGCTTTCTGCTGTGTCCTGTGCTCATTCCTCCAGAGTGGTGTCTCACTAATGAAGGATGTGTGTTACTGGCTAGATAAGCAGGTCAAAAGAAAGGGGAAGAAAGCCTAAAAAAGAAAACAGATGCAGTCACCACATCTAAGGATTGCTATACTGATATATAATACATTTTTGGTTTTGGGTTTCATAACACTTTAATTTTTGTATCTCTAAAACTTGCAGGATCTATTCTCCACTGATCCACTGATCGTGGTTGCAAAGCTCTGCAGCCTGATTTGCAAAAAAAATAATAAATGCACTTTTTTTTCCAGCAAATATATGTGTATTTATTAATTTTTGTAAAAGGTGAACTTAGTCATTAATTGTGCTTTTCAAATTGTGGCCAGTTGCAAATGTACATTATCCCAGACTTTCATAATATACAGCTTGAAAGATGCTATTTGAGTTCATTGATGTACATATAATACTCGAAAATGATAGCATAGCAAATAAATGAACCTGGGGTGTTTACAGCCCTCAGGCATTCATATTCTGGATGAAAATTCAGATAGAGCTAATTTCTTGCCGTGCCAGTAAAATAGTAGTATTAAAGTACCCAGAAGCAGTCAAAGCTGTTCTTTTGCTAGTGATGCTTTTTTTTCCAGCTTGGCACAATAAAATGTGCACTCATTCTGAACTGGATATTTGAAACTAATGGCTAATGTAATGCATTTTGCCAACATACTTGTTATTTTGTATTGCTGCCTGATATATCCATTCTAACTTGCATAAGCATAACCAATGGGCTGAAGTTATTTACTGGGATCATTGCCTATATGAAAAATGGGCAAAAATATTGATTTAAATGTCATAATACATTTTCTAATGACAACATCAATACAATAATGTTAAACATTATGATAGAGGAGTGAATAGTAGATTTGTAAAAGGACAACAAAGAGTCCAGTCTAGAGCAACAGAAATTAGTTAAATCTATCTGAGTCAGAAAAAAGCTTATGAAAAAGATACCAGGGGCATCTTGTGGGGCCCCCTACTGACCCCGGGCCCTTGGCAGTGCCCGAGTTTCCAAATGGTCAGTCCTCCCCTGATCTGAGTACATTAGATTTCTACCTAAGCATGCAACACAAAGAAGGATATCACTTGGATAAAAGCTGAACTGAAAAAGACACAAATTAATGCAGCTGTGCACTTAATAAATTGTTACTCATTTAAGTACCTAAATTTGATTTGATTGCAGCCTTTTGCAAAGTCCTATTCTATTGCTTAGACTGTGAGAGGAAGGGATAGGACTGGGAGCCAGTGAGGTGTGCTGCAAGCAAATGTGAAAAAGAAACTCGCTGATGGGTAAAGCAGAGTGAGCAGAGAGAAGAGACAAACAACCTCCTACTGCTGAATTCTTGCCCCAGCAACAACCCAAGTATACAGGGCCAGGTCAGGACTTGGATGATTGGATCAATAGGTTGTAGAATCTGATCAAATCATATGGGATCTTGCCCTTCCAGCAAGCAGAGCTGTCCATTAATGCCTTAGAGAACAGGTGTCAAACACAAAGCCTGAGGGCCAAATCCAGCCCTCCAGGCAATTTCATGTGGCTCTCAGACCTTTCCTGAAGCTGTGGCACTCCATTGTCTCTACCTTGTCTCAGCAGTCAACAGAAGAGAGGAGGACACATCTCCTCCACCAGATCATGCTCTTCTCCATGCAGCCATAGAGAGGCTTATTTCTGAAACCCCCCCACCCTTGGTCTCAGCAATTGGCAGCAGAGATGAGGACAGAACACCTCCTACAGATTCTACACGTCTCTATGCAGCTGCAGCACCCTCTTGTCTCCGCCTCCCCTGTGGATTTCTGCTGCTGACTCCAGCCGTCCTTTGGTCCTCCTCCAAACCCTGCCCTTTCTGCTTCCCAGCTCTGCCTCCAGCATCTTCCTGGCAGCAGCACAAGGTAAGGGAGGTGCACTGTAATGTAAGGGAAAGTGGGGTTCCCTGGACATCAAGTCTTACAGGTACAACTGACCCTTTGAGGGCAACCATAATGCTGATGTGTCCCGCCATGAAATTGAGTTTGACACCCTTGCCATAGAGGAAGAATCAAAAAGGTTTATCCTACACCTCTCAGCAGAAGAAAAGGATTCCCTTAACAAAATTATTAACTGCTTGGAAGCAGTGTACAGCTAAACGGTATCATTAGGGCAGTGTTTCTCAACTCCAGTCCTCATGGACCCCCAACAGGTCATGTTTTCAGGATTTCCCTCAGATGAAACAGCTGTGGTAATTACTAAGGCAGTGAAACTGATCAAATCACCTGTGCAAAATAATGGAAATCCTGAAAACATGACCTGTTGGGGGTCCATGAGGACTGGAGTTGAGAAACACTGGATTAGGGAAATGAAAGTGTTACTAAACCCAGGACCCTGCATTCACTATATCTGGTCTCCCACAGTACACAGAACATGGAGATGCAATTATTTTAGTAGATATAAATTGCTAAATGCCTTTTCTCATCAGCAGTTAGAGCAGTCTTGTGACTTCTATCAGTGTCCTGCAGAGCACTGGTTAAAGCTTGTAGGAGGAGTTTTAATTTTTCTCTAGGAGGATGCAGAACCCCTGACCTCTGTCTGGACAGTCCTGATTGGCCCTCTGATGATCACATGCACTCTCCCAAGAAAAACACAAACCTCTCTAGCAATACACACCAAACTGAGCAGCGTTATTCCACACAATATGCCTTATCAGGAGATAAGAGGGGGGCATTGGAAGAAGGGGAGGATCAGAGAAGTCAGAATCAAACAGTTTTTATACACAATGCAGAGGATTAACCCCCTGGGTTCCACAGTGAGTATAACAAGCATGCTTTACTGCATATACAGAATTATTTTACTGTTGTGGGTTTAATAACACTTTAATGGCTTACTGCTGTCCAACAAGGTGAGAGAAACTTTGCAATAGAAAGAAAGGAGCAACACCACAAACTGTCAGAATCAATCATAGCATGTCAGGAGCAGGGAAATATAGGCCCAGAGGCACCTATGGCCATCACAGGAGGGAAAACAATAGGTCCACCTGCAATCAGATAGCTCCATGGTAGGTGCCCATCCAGAAATAGACAGAGGGGATGGCTCAGTTCCTGACAGAGTTATCCACAATGAAGTGCAGACAAAAATACTCCTCTGAGGAGTGAGGGATGGATGCTCCCTAATGGGGAAGGTGAAAATCACCTTAGAGGCAGCCAAGGAGGGCAAAGTCACCATGGGGCTGTTGAGTTGTGCCATCGCCAGAGTTACTGTCCCAACCATACACAGAGCAAGCCACTAAACACTAAAACACACCCCTGCCAGGAGTCAAGCAGTGGGGCAACAAGAATTGCAGATCTGACAGTCTATTCTCCTGCTGTGTGTGGATTCTTGGACAGCCAAGAGATTGAGTGTCTTTTTGAT